ATGTTATATTAAAAAAAACGTTTTGCAATATTTTTTTTCAATATTTTAATAAAAAACGTTGCAAAAACGTTTTTTTTCATAATATTATATTAAAAAAAAAAGTTTTGTACCATTTTTTTTCAATACTTTAATGAAAATTTTTCAGGTTTCAGGTCAGGTCAGGTCAAACAGACAACCTGATATAACCTGACCTGACCTGACCTGAAAAAAAATTTCAGGTCAGGTTTATCAATTAACCTGACCTGACCTGACCCATTCGGAGCTCTAATTATCAGGATCTTTTCTATGGGATTTATATTTTTTTAGCAAGTTTTCCTGTAATTTCTTTTTGAGAAATAGGCATAATATAATTTGTAATAAATAAAAACTACCGAAATTTTTTTCAAAATTTTTTTAACAAAGTATGGGTAAGTTTATAAGCTAAAATGATTTGTTTGAATAAGCACTATCAAATGATTATTTTTTTTTTATATTACACAAAAATCACTTATTCTCAAATTTTTCCCATCATAATAAATTACCTGAACTTCAAACTTATGTAATACTAGCAAAATTTATTATTTTTTAATCCAACCTGATAAGTTTAAAAGCTCTTGATATGCTTTATTAAAATTATCGGTTAGAATTTTAAAATATTATTTTTTTGCTAATGTGACATTTTTTTGAAAATGTCACATTATAACTATAAAATTGGGTTGGTTATAGAGGTACTGCACTGTATTTGTATATTTCGTTTATCTTCCATTTTTTTTAAAAACTAAGCAAAATAAAATTTTACTGCAGAATTGTTATGTATTTAAAATTTTTGGGAAAGAAAGCATCCATCCATCCATATCATATGGGCTGATTTGTCTACTTTGCATTAAAAAGAGTTATTGAATTAATTTTCACAATTTTCGTTACTCAAAATTGTTTTGTAATACCAAGAAATTATCTGATTGATGATCACTTGACTAAATAATAAGTTGAACAAAAATTTACATTTGCAAAACTTAAATTATTAAATGTAAAAAAGGTGTGAAAAAATCCATTTCACTAATAAAAAACCCAT